CCCAGGCCAGATACGATCTCCACCGTACAACGTGCCCTGTACTTGATTCATAGCCAACTCTCAGCGTTTCGTCATGTTCAAAAATATTTTCCTGACAACTCGCGCTAGCGTGGAACCCGAGACATGCAAAAGGGACACAGAAAGCTGGAAAATCTTGAAGTCATGCTAGAGAAGGGCCGAGGTGAGCTCGCCAACGACTGCTAATGGGGAGACACAAAAAAGCCACTTTGGCCGAGTCACATATCAGGTTTTCGCTGCCCAGACAGAAGACGTGGATACGAGTACCAGGGCGGAAGATACCCAAGATGTTCCTCGATAAGCAGGAGCAGGCTCTCGTCCCATCACCTTCATGTACACCAAAATATGAAGCCATCTCCAATCGCAGCCTGACTGGAGAAGGCCTATGGAATTCACGTCACCTCCAAACAGCTGCGAAACTTCTTGTATGGAGTCACCCATGGACAGCTACCTGGGGACCAGCACTCTTGATCTGGAAGACCTCCAACATCGAGCAGCTCCGACAACGTCGCTACGGTCCAGGATATCATCTTCACCGCAGTCGCCAAGGCGCGGGTTGATGGTATGGACCGGAAGTGTGGAATGGAAAGACCAATATTTTCTTCGTGGACCCGGAGTGGAAGTGAACGCTGACTTCATGTCGTCCCCTGTACTGTCTTGGAAACTTCGTACTGATTGGGATTGGGTGCCAGCACAGGAAACGAAGGTCGTTGTGAAAACCCCAATTTGGGATCGAATGGCGTTGAGAGCCTGAAGAGGACGGAATATTTAAGGGTGTCACCTGACCCAGCCCCCTCCCCCCTGCCTCGATAACCGGGCGAGCAGAGCTCCGGAGAAGAAGCTCAACATGGTGGTCTACAGTGGCGGAGAAATCAATGACGACCTCGCTGAACTCAGGCACCGAATCACGGTCGCGTGGCAGAATCTCTCGTCCAGAAAGCTGTGGCGCAGTATCGTGAAATGAATATTGAATATGATGGTGAAAATGTCCACTCAGAATTGAATAAAGTGTAACTTATATCGCCTTAAAAGTTTTTTGAGCACCCCCCCCCCCCCCCCCCCCCGCCCATCTGTACTCGCATGCCATGGTGGATGGCTTGCAAGTAAAATTTCTCAAACCACTCAAAGCACTGTCGATGCTGGTGGTGGTGTGCATGGATGATCATGTAATTTATTATTCTTCAGAAACCAATGAACTCCCACTCTTTCTCGGGGCCTTTGAATTTCCCATGGATTCGGAATTCTCTGACATGATTTGCGCGTAGCCTGTATAACCCAAGTTGCGCTCAAAGTGTCACTGTTGTATCGAACGGAAAAGCAGTGCATGGCTCATCAAAAGGGGACTGCTCAACGTCCAAGCGTTAAAGGCTGCACAATGAGGAGAGCGCGGGCGAAGCAGGGAGCAGGCACTTACTTCCACTACCCTGTGAACTCATTCCCGTGCACTTTTGAGCGGGAAAAGTGGCACGCTACTGCAGCTGCTGACCCATTTGCCTCGCACTGGCAGAGACCATCCTTGGAGGTGGGTCTAGAGCGAGTTTTTGGGGCTAACAACCTCTTCTTCACTGAATTGCAATGCACATCGATTACAAGACTTGGGTGCTTCTTGTGGGTCGACGAGGTTGCTGAGTGGGGCCTTCATTGATGGCATGACTCTTCGCCTATATCCTCGCAGGCCCTTTTTGGACCTTAGAAGGTTCAGAAAAAAGGGGGCGATACCACCCTGACGGAGGCGTAACCATGAGTCCCTCCTGATGTCGGAAGCGGTGTAGCTGCAAGTGGCACGTTTAACAGGTGCACAGA